AGAGAGAGAGAGAGAGAGAGAGAGAGAGAGAGAGAGAGAGAGAGAGAATAGGTTTAGGGTTTAAGGAATAGACAGCAGGAACCACCTTCAGCGGCAGAAAAGATCAAAACTCCATAACCTCACCCATATAGTAAATCAATCATTATACGAAGCAGGCAAGCATCTCCAGCACTTAAATCCGGATCAGACAGCAGAGTAGCTGAGAGGAGCAAGCTGGCCAAGCCAACGTATCCAAGCCACGCACCCTATTCAGGGCACATAGAGGTACCTACACCAGTCAGAACCTAAGTCAAGAAGGCTAACTTAGGCAGGGTTGAGGGGTGGTACATCCTTCCCAAAGGAAGTAATCAATGCCGTCCACTCGGACCTCCCAACCAGAATGGGGATGAGCATGTGTGTGTGACTATTGTATTCATCTTTGACTTGCCGGGGGAATAGGAACCGGGCCGTTGCTCCCCAGAATGGCAGGAGCCAGAACCGAGAGGTTCTGTTTAAAAAAAAAAAACAAACAAACAAACAAAAAAAAGAGTACCGAGACCACCCATCCTAGGTAACACATGGACCAAAGGCCAGAATGACATGGCCATACCACTTACACAGGGTGACGCCCAGTGGGGACACTGGCTAGAAAGGGGAATATGGCAGATCCAACACGTCTGGAATGAGCACAGGAATGACTGGAAGACCGAAAGGGAATTAAGACACGAGCCGCAAGACCTAAAAGGATGCCACAACCTATAGAAGAATCTTCTCCAATCACAGAGGGAATTCCTATGGATTGGAGAGGTGCAAGCAAGCATGGCAGGGGCGGACTGGCGGTTGAAAGAGAGCTCACCAAGGTAGCCGAAGTTCTCAACAGAATCGGCTATGGAAACCAGGGCTTAACATGAGTGCTTTGTGCCATCTGCCTACTAGAAGGGGAAGGAAACCAATGCAGCCTTACCAAGAAACAAAACAGGGCAGAAGCATTCGTCCGAGCATCCAACCTAACGAGAATCAGAGTAATAAAAGGGGAAATGAACAGAGCATACAGGCCAGACCTGGAAATCAGACAGCTAGAGGTAGACCAGGTGGAATGGTCATGGAGGACGCAAGACAGAACACCGCAGTGGCAAGATAGAATGGATTCACCAACCACAGCCAAACTAAGCTACAGACTACTCCAAACCGATAAACATTTCCTAAATCCTGCAAAAAAGATGGGAAAAAGAAGAATCAGAAAACATCAAGTTCCCAGACTGAATCCAATCGCAAAGCATAACAAAACTACAGCCAGTGAAGCTAGGCAGACTTTATGCTGATTACCAATAGAGCAGTGCCAGTGAATACATGGCTAAACCAGAGGAGAATGAAAGAGAACAGGACGCAACAAGCTACATGGTGCAAAGTGTGCAACACCCAAGCCTCCCAAGGGGAAAACAAAAAAAAAGACACAACACACCTGAACCACACTCTAAAACAGAGTCCTGGAAATTAACTGGGAGATTTCTCTTTGCTTATGAAGGAGATACTGTGGATCCTGTGGAAAAGGAGACGTACAGTGAACACCAGATGGAAGATCTGAGATCAGCAAACAGGTCAGCCGCTAAAAAATAGGAAACAGGAAACTGGGATCGACTGAAGGGGACAGGATCAGGTTCAAAGACTGAATGGTAATAGAGGCACTAGACAGCCAGCAACAATTAGAGAACACAGGACTAGAAGGATGGACGATAAGGCACAGTGTAACCAACACCAAAGTACACAGACTGGTAGTGAGTATTCAACTATTTTTATAATATACCTGCAAGGGATCCAGGCTGAGAGGAGCATACGGAGTTCATAGATCCGGTAAATCATGGGAAAGGGAGTAAGTCAGACAATTAGGGGTGGAGCAGAGGACATCCTTCTTAAAAGGAAGGAATCAATGCCTGGTTCAGGAGCCCTTGACCATAATGGAGGGAAGCACTATACGTTCTCAGTTTTCTTATTAAACCACAACCACCTCTGAGCCTGTTTTTGCCGACCCCGATTTTCACTGCGCGCTGAGTTTTGCTGAGCCTGGGTTCCTTTTTTTTTTCCTGGTACTCTGGGGGGGGAACAAGAAAACACGACCAGACAAAAAGGAACAAGCACGACACTCTCACATCTATGAAAAAGAAAAAGAGAGAAAGCAAACACCCCTTTGGACGTGATACCTGGTAGATACCTACCCCGAAGCAGTTGTGTGAGTATGCCCTCAGTGAGAGCGTTACGGCACGGATGTCAGGTCCACAGAAGAAAAAAGAAAAAAACAATTGAAACTGAACTTAGGGTGGGAAAGTGGGTTCATACATTCTGCAAAGTAGTAGTGTGGGCAGGCCCTCCTCCACAAAGTGTCAGCACCCCGTGGACTGTGCAGTGCCTCCATGGCAGGGCACCAAAACAACAACAAAAAACGAAAAAAAACAAAAACACAAACAAAGAAAACCTGAAACTAGCCACAATACTACTTAGATACTTTCTTGTGAGTTTTGGTGTGAGCACAACTTCACGCACACCCTTCCCTGACATGGTCTTTTGTTTTCCTTTTTGTTTTTTGAACGGCCCACAAGCCCCAACTGCCGAGCTTCGTTGGACCCCGGAAAAGTTCGGAAAAAGTGGGAAAATGTAGGCTACCAGCCGGGCCGCCCGGGTCCCGGGTGGGCAGCCTGTGCAAGGACCAGGGAAAGTCCCAGCCAGAAAAAAAAAAAAAAAAAAAAAAAAAAAAAAAAANAAAAAAAAAAACGAAAAAAAACTATGTTATGCAGAAAAATAAACTGAACAACTTTTCCCTCAGGGTCACATCGAAATTCTACACCAAATTTAGAATAAAAAATAAAATTTTTATTTTTTTATTTTTTATTTTTATTTTTTAATTGTTTTTGGCCCGGCCGGGCAAGTGACCCCGGGCCACTCTGGTAGCCTAGGGGAAAACTGTCAGTTTTGAGTTTTCCATTTTTCCCAAGAGTGGCAGAGGTAGTGGTGGTTTAAGGGGAGGGGGGGGAGAGCTTGCATGGAATGGTAAATTTCAAATGTGACATGTTTGAAACTACCTACATTACACATACATGGTTATGCATCCATGAAGAAGTAAAAGTTACCTTCACCAATAAAAAAAATTATGCAATGTAATTGCATTCATTAGATGCAACTCAAAACCATCTCTTTCAGCAAGCGCTCCCACTTACCTTTGCCAGCCCAAGACGCAATGTGAGCTCCTCACACTTCTTCTCCAGTCTGTTCTTTGCCTCACGCAAAGCACCAGTTTCACGGGCGGCCTGACATGCAAACACAGAAGCATTACCAGTCAGCAAAACAAAAACCTGCCAATTATCAGAAAATTACAAACGTGTTTGTACACGAACATCCTTAAAACGTTTACGATTGGCGTTCTCTTTCTACATTCCTCGTCATGCGTTTAACTAAAAAGAAAGAGAACAGAAGCCTCAGAAGGATATTTCTTCGTCAAAAGCCATGGCCATAGAGCTGGGGGAAAAGAACAGGTCTCTCTCTCTCTCTCTCTCTCTCTCTCTCTCTCTCTCTCTCTCTCTCTCTCTCTCTCTCTCTCTCTCTCTCTCTCACTCTCTCTCCCCCTCCCCCCCCCCTCCCCCCCTGCACGCACAAGCATCGTCACATTTTAAATGCACCCCCGAAAATAGGGGTTGTTTGAATACTTTTTTTGGGGGCGGGATGTCGCAGCAGGTGTCACCCCTCGTACAAGAAAAATATCACATCATAGTATGACACGATGTTCGGGGCTGTCTCATGCAGCTCGTTCTTGATGGACCACCTATTCTCAGGCTTCTGGTATTGGAACCGGACGTTATATAGCTGCTGCGGCCTTTCCCTGCTACCAGACCTATAGAAGTCTTAATCTACGATGCTGTCAATGTCATAACGACCATCCATATCAGGGGGAATCATCGATCTAGGTCATGGGAACGCTAGTCACGTAAGGTAACAACTTCGAGGCAGGAAACACAGGATATGTCTGCAGATGGGGCGGTATGTCGACAACGTAGGATGAACCATCTGTATCACCTATTACATCCATAATCACCCACGGCCCTCTATGTGCTGGTAAGAGTTCCTGAGAAATCTCGTCTTCCGTTAGGAACTCTTCAGATTTCACCCATACAAAGTCTGCAACAGTGAACTTCGAGGGTTTGCAATGCTTGCTAGCTTATTCTAGGATAATAGACTTACTGGTGTGTTTGCATTCAACGGCCATCGCCACCAGGTTGAAGAATACAACTGTATTTCTATTTACTTGTGTTGATTTTCCAAGACTATTCCTGAGTTCATATCGCATGTGCACTTTGTGTGTGCTCGGACTGGTGTGATATTCATGCAGAAGTTTGCAAGCTGTCAAACAACAATTCAACAATGTATACAGCCCTGATTACATGCAGAAATGTACTCCAAGCAGAAACTTTGACTCAAGGTCGAGCATTGAGGTGAAACGGTTTTCACCTTTTAGCAGTAGCAGATGCAGTACCCAGGGCTCGATCCCTAGACCTCACCCTACCCATGTACAGTATCTGTGTAGACCCCGAGAGTTGAACCTATGACCTGTGTATTCGTAGACAGTTGGTAGGTCTGTCATAGGTCCATAGGCAGCAGGGGTTCGATCTGTAGGTCTATAGAGTAGAAGTCTTAGCAAGTTCCAGAAGCTTAGCTGTAGTCCTTCTAGAAGGTAGGCAAGTGGGCAAGTGGGCAAGTGGCGAGGCAAGTGGTGGACTAAACTGCAGTGCAATCGCAGTACGACTTCGGTAGGATAGCA